TAAGAACAAAATCTAAAATGGAATTCACTAATTCTATTAGTTATATTTTTATCCATCCCTTGCTCCAGGATCTTGGTGATCTTCTTCTTCTTCTCTGGCAATCACTCGTAGCCGAGTAAGATTGTCTTCCATAAACATGGTTTTAACAAGGAGTTAGTAAGTGACTGTGGAGGCCAATTCTCGATCCACACATCCTTCCACAGTGGGGGCATTGGTTTCCTGCTGGGAGTTGATCACGGTGTGGATTTGCCAAGCGTGCCTTCCTCTTAGCACGTTTCTCCCTTGCGTCCTGAGTTTGAGTGTCTTCAAAGCCCATGACACCTTTGGTAAAGGCTGTTGTCCAATTGGAGTGCTCACCGGCAAGTGTTTCCCAATTGTTGGTGTTTATACTACATTTTCAAAAATTGCCTTGAGACAGTCTTTAAACCTCTTTTGTTGACCACCAGCATTACGCTTCCTATTTCTAAGTTTGGAATAAAGTAGTTGCTTTGGAAGACGATAATCAGGCATCTGCACCACATGACCAGTCCAACAAAGTTGATGTTGAAGAATCATTGCTTCAGCACTGGTGATCTTGGATCTCAGGATAGAGCATTTGTGGTCTCCCCACATTTTAACCTTCCAACAATCCTGCAAGGTAGGTGAGGTTGAGGGCATCTACTGAGCTTCATGGCTGAATAAAAGTTTGAGCCCAATCTCCTTGGTTAGTGCTCAACATTATTTCCATACTCTGATCCCAGAGTATGGTATGAAGGCACATGTCATGGGCTAGCACCTTGCTGAAGTTTTTCTGAAGCTCTGGATCTGATCCATGTGTGTATAAGAAACCATCTGGGTAACACGTGTATGCCACTTTGGGTTCCATGGTGGAAGAAAGGCAGGATATCAATGCATAAGAGGGAAAAAAAACAGCATTACTTAACCACAGCAGAAGACCAAATGCAAACTCACATGAAGTGAGAGGATCTTTCTGAGGCCTGCTCATAACTATTGCATTAGGAACAGTAGTGCGATACCACAAAAAAATTATTCTCAATATTCCACAATTATTATATGCTGGACATTATACTTCTCCTTTGGGAGTTGGCGTTGCACTGTGGTTTCTGCCATTATATCATGGACATTTCACTTGTCATGCCATTCATTGGCCATGGCCAACCTTTTTTTCTCCTTCAGCCTTCTAACCTCCACTCCCCCACATGTTTCTCCTTCCCATTTCTACTTTGAATAGCTCCCTAGGTCTACTGTTGCTCTCTTAAAGTTATTTCCCCTTTCTCTGCATCATTTTTGAAGCATGTATTTTAAAAGCCAGTTCACACTTGTCATTTGCTTTCAATGATCATGCAGATGTATCCATTACTAGAAATGGGCATTCGGCCATCTATAATTTGTTTAGAATCTCCCTGTTTACATCCTTGCATTCAGTTTATTTCAGGCTGGATATTGTTAGGCAAACAATGAAGCAAAGTTTGGGTAGGAGGGCAGGGTTGGGTGGGGGGAACAGTATGTAAATCTCTTGAAATTTAACAGCTTTTTGTTGAAGTTCAACAAACATTTTCCCCACTCTGCTGCTCTCTGTTGTTGCTCTCTAGCTGAATTTCTCTCTCTCCCTCCCTCCCTCTCTCCCCTCTCCCCCCACCCCCTGTGTGTGTGCTGAGCTATTCACCAGCCAGTGTTCTTCGATGCTGGAGGGGGAAAGTGCATTGTAATTAAAGGTGGAGAAGTACATTGCTTTCTAACAAACACCACTCACTTAGCATGGGAATTGTTTTGTGGCACACACACAAACCTCTGCTAAATCCTGCAAAGGGAAGAGAACATTTAGAGAGGGCTTTGCTAAATCTGGCAATGTCACTCACTTCAAAGTTCATTTGGTTAGCTGCAGGATGCATTTTTTGCTGATTGAAATTATGTCGGGGAAATATGCATTAACATTCCAGAGAGCATGCAAGCCAATTATTTTTGTAATCATAAAGGTTTGGATTTTTAAAAAGGAGATTTTATTGTTGCAATTACACACTGCGTGAATTCTGATCTGTAGTGTTACTGATCATAACCACTTTTGACCCAAGGAACTAAATATGAGAACATTTATCATGTTTCCTCACTAGACATTATTTTGGGGTTACAAAAGTTGTAGGAGTCCAGCTGGATTGTTGCCCAGAAGAAGCCATAAATAAATAAAAGAAATAAAATAAAAAAACCAGAACATCAACAAAGCCTACAACACTCCTAGCACACTGCCAAGCATTCCTCTGTTTCTTCCCATATTTAAAAGAGAGGGCGATATAACCCCTCTCAGAAAGGGAGGGATCTCAGGATAGTTTGCTCCTTGTACTATTATCAGGACAAAAGTGGTACAAAGTGTTTTGCAACCACACTGGGAAATTAAGAGGCAAGACACAAAGGCTGAGTAAACAGACATATATATTTATCCAACTCCAAACAGATCTGCATATAGGGGAACTAAGGTGTGGGATCTAGTAACCAAACTGTGGGTGAGCCAGCGGTGCCAAGGCCCCTTCCTCTATCCCCCTCCTTAAGCCCCACCTTTTAGGTCAGTAGGAAGGCCTTTCTGCTTCACCCCCTCCTGGGACCCCGCAACTCCAGACAGGTATCACCAGGTAGGTATCACAGGTTGGCCCCTAAGATGCTCCTTAACCTTGTCATTGAGGCCCACAGCCCTGAAAACAGGGCTCAGGACTACATCTTCCCATTCCAAACTTTAACTAACTCATAACTTCCCACACCTACCTGCCAATATGGCTAATTAATCTATTTAGTGACTACCTGCCACTAAGTGCACCCAACAGCACATCAGAACAGAGCAGGTAAAACAACCCTGTCAGCAAGACCAATCAGGTGACAAGCAAAATATTCCTACTCGGCCCCTCAGAAGGCAATGAGCTGCTGTTTGCAGTGCCTCTAGGGTGGGCAGGTGAGTAGCGTGCCAAATGAAGAGGCAAAGAGAGAGGCAGGTGCAAATAACCCCCTCTCACACTCCAGTGACAGCACAACATGCACCTACATGCTAAAGCCGCTTACCAGGGCCCTCCATTCCCTCAGTGGTCACAAAAGCTGCCCACTACCGCAGGTGTGAAAGGTGTGAGATGCCTTGAAAAGAAACAAAACCCCTTTTTGTGTTTGTTTCTGTTGTTTTCCCAATCTGTTGTTGTTGTTGCTGCTTCTTCTTCTGTGTCATTTTGAAAACAGAAGAAACCACTGGACATTCTCCCTTGGAGTAGTTTTCCCAGGCAATTAGAGATTACATTGTGAATGTGATGATGTCACAACAATACGTAGCTGATTAGATTGCACTGCATGATGACATCACAAGGCCTTTGAGAGTGAGGGTACAGCTTTCTGGATCAGCACTGCTGTCACTATGAACAGGTAGGCATTTTCTCCACCTTTTGGGCAATTTCCAAGAAACATATGGGGAAAAAATTGGCCCACCTTGAGATATAGGTTGGAAAGAATGAGATTCTGGTGGAAAACAATTCTGACCAAGAAGTAATGGTCTTGGGATAAGTAGTAGCTGATATGCTGAGGGTGTAGTTGTCAGCGTAAGTAATGAACAATTGGGTAACTTAATGTGATACTAAAACTGTGGCAGAGATGAAAAACATCTAAATGGTCTCAGCTCTTCTTGGTTTTAGAGCATTAGAATATTGTAGTAAAATTTTTAATATATTGATACTTATGTTTTAACTGAATGTATTAAATATGTTATTAAGAAAAGAAAAGGAGTTGTTTTGTTTTTATTTTAATTTATTTATTATTCTGTTATCCCATACTTCCTCCTAAGAGTGAGCTCAGGGCTCCTATCAACCTAATATAACATAGCAATATAACTTTAAATCAACAATCAACCAGCCATCATTTATTTCATTTATTATTAATTGTTTACCTTTCTACCCACAGGAGCCCAAGGCAGCACAAAATGTCACAAAACATCATAAAAACAGTACCAGATGAAACATCTGGCGGATACTTAACATCCCTTATCCACTCAAAGGCGTGAACAAATAAAACAGCATTAAATTTCACCTGAACATAGTCAAAATGAGGGACAAGTTATTCACACTTGTAAAATTGGGCATCACTATGGAATATGCCTTAACTTATGTCACTGCTGAAAGGTTCCAGAAAAGGCACTCCATGTTTGACTCAGTTCTAATTTCTTACACTTCATGATAGGCTAAAAGCCTCACATGTCCTTTCTCTATTTTTAGGAATAGCAAATTGTCAGCTTAGCTGCCTTGCATAATATTTGAATCTGCCACCAGACCTCTAGGACTTCCTTCAGCGTAGAGCACTTCACTACTGCCATAATTCAGGAGAAGGGTGAAGACCTCTTATATTTGAAGTGTTGGCAATCTCATTATTTTGACAATCTTTAGAATAGATTGGTTTGTGGCATGTTGATTTGGCATCATGGCAAATTAATATTTGCAATGCAAGAAATAATAACGATTCAAGATGAATTTATATCTGTCCGATGACATGATGGGCCAGAAACATTCTAAGCTTCTTTTAATGATCTATTTAATTCAAGACACTAACCAGTGACAGGCTGGTGCGACCTTTGCAAACTGCAGCAGCTGGCATGATTGCAAACATGGTGAGGTGTGCTTTAACAAAACATATAAGATATGACTATGCTAATGATGAGATATTGTCTGTTGCAAACCTCCAGATAACACAGCCGTGTAATTAACTTCTATAAAGAGGTCAGACCTGGAGGACTCTGTGAATTTCTGGGAGACTCTTCAGTGGAAATCAATTCATGAAGATTAGGAACAAGTGGCACAGAGAAGGAAAAGAAAAATAAGAGTCACCTGCACTGTCAAGACATGATGTTGAGCAGAAATAACACTGGGGTTAGGTACAGACCCTGAAGGGCGTATGACGAAGGGCCAGTTCATGGCAAAACAGATTCCATGCAGATTTGGAAAATGAGCAGACATGGTTAGGCTCAACAAAATAATTTAGATACTAAATGGATAGCTCAGTTGGTTAGAGTGTGGTGTTGATAATGCCAAGGCTGCAGGTTCAATCCAGCTGCATATTCCTGCATTGGTTGGACTAGATGATCCTCAGGGTCCTTTCCAACTCTATGATTTTAATACAGTTTGCAAACTGTGCTCTTTATAACTTTCTCAAGTTCCTATTATTGAATCACAAGTGACTGGCAACTAAATGCTGCAATGTATTCTGGCTCCCTAGCAGAAATGCTACTCTCCAATATTACTGTCCTATGTTGGTTCCAGTCATACCACCACCAGAGTTCACTATTCAGAAAGGCTCTGTTAGGGCTCATCTAGACTTCTGATTGTCCACCACTTACTCACTCTTTGCCACTGCATCAGAGCAAAGGTCAACCAGGTTTTCTGTGTATTGATGTTTGTTCTGATTCAGCACTAAAGAATTTCCCAAGGTAAACGGCAAACTGCTTGGGCCTGTGCGGAGAAAGCACAAGCAAGTGGGCAACTGCTCAAGCCCATGCTTTCCAGGTGCAGAACAAGTGGAAGTGTGGATGAGCCTTTATTATCAGGCCAGTCACCCACAAGGCACAGTCTAGACAAAGCAAAGCACTTTTTAGTTCTCTTGATTTCATGGTGTTCTTAGCAGGTATTCTTCCACTGAAATGGTCAGGACTTAAAAGTGTTTTAATTTTGGCTGGATTCTGTTGAAAACTTTCAACAACAACTATTATTATTATTATTATTATTATTATTATTATTACCCTGCCTATCTTGCCTATTACCCTGCCTATCTGGACGGCTTACAACATATAAAAAAATTGTAAAACATTAGACATTAAAATTTTCCCGATTCAGGGTTGCCTTCAGATAGATGTCTTCTAAAAGTCAGATAGTTGTTTATTTTCTTGATATCTGATGGGACGGAGCTCCACAGGGTGAATAATATTTTTTTAAAAAAACCCCACTCCCACATCATTTATACTGGAATAACCAAAACTTAGCAGTTTGAGATACATTATTTCCACATGGAAATGAATTAGGTTGCCCGCATTGTATGGAAATGGTCTTCATGTACTGGTGAAAGCCTTGTTTTGTATGCAGCAATAAGGTTGTTTTTGTTTTTTTAAAAAAAGCTTGGGGGGAAATTGACAATCAGGATATTTTTCTTCCTGGCAACTTCTGCTCTTCTGTACAAACAGAGTCATCTCATTAAGCAGCCACACATTGCTCTACTGTTACAGTATTTAGGTTGGCACCTCCAGAGAAGTGTGACTCTAAGCCATTGCTAAATACAGAAGAAGATACAAAATGCAGAACTAAGAAGATGCATCTCACCACCATTCATTTGCATGTCATCAGGAACAAAACAATGAGCATAAGCCAATAAAAGTCCCATATATTTCAGCTGGAGAATGTTCAGCATATGCTTAGCTCAAACATTAAAATGCACAGGAATTAGGCTACATATGTTACCGGAGGGTAAACCTCAAGGATCCAGTGAAACCTGGGTGCTTTCACATGACTGTTTATTACAGACTTGGTGCTGCTCATACAGGAAACTTGCTTTGCGGCGTCATTCTCATAAAAATGCCACCCCATATTTTATTTCCCTATTTAATCTAGACTCACCATTTCTGCAGGATTCCCCCCTCCCCTTATTGCAATTTCTGGAAATCTGGATTAAATGGAAAAAGAACATGTCGATGATGATGTAATGTGGATGTTGCAAAAATACTTGCATGCACGAGCAGCACTGGGTCCACAATGAACTGCCATATAGAACTCCCTTACAACTGTGTAGAGACTCGTAGGAGTCAATAGGCTCAAGGAGGCACAAGGGAAGCTGCATCACTCTCCTGGCTTCCAAACACTGTGGGAGGGGCCAGGCAGTGGGAGGATCTCTGCAGATGCAGGTGCAGCAAGACCTTCCTATTAGCTCCATCACTGCACCTATGCATGCCAAGCTTCTTGCTGCCTTGTCCAGCTCCCAGTAAGCAAGAGCAATGCATGGTGTTCAGAAGCCAGGACAACAGCATAGCCCCACCTTTGCTGCCCTGACAACTGTTAATGCATAGGGTGTAGTGGATATAATTTTTGAGGTAGGCACAACCCTCCTTGAACTTGCCCTAACTTGTTTGGGATTTGCATCCCCTACTAGTTCTCAGTGAGTTTTCCTTCACTAAGTTGCAGCAGGTAACAATAGGTGTCTGCCATGTGTGCATCGATGTTTGCCACTGTGAATTATTAGGGGGAAACATACAACTATATTATAGGTTCTATCAAAATAAACATGCTATGGACACTTTCTTGAGGCCACACCCAAACATGTCTTTTTGGCACATGTGCCTCCCTGTCTTTAGAGCTGCATGTCTCTCTTTCTTTTATGATAAGGCACTCATTAGGATAGTCACTAAACCAACACAAATTAAGGGTAAATCAAACAGGGAGAGGGATATCACAAAACATTTCCTTGGGTAGTTATTTCCTAGCCAATCAAAGAAGGCTCTCCACATTTCACACAAACTCTTTTCAAAGCTTTTTTATTTTTAATCAGCAAGGAAATTTATTTTCATCTTCCTTTAAATAGCTTTTTAAATTATTGATCACAAGTAGTTGAATATATACAAGTGGAATACACCAAGTGGGTTCTTTATTCCCTCCTTTTTAAATGACTTTTGCTTTTTTTGGACACTGGGGCTCTGCTGTTGAACATGCTGCTTTCTAGTTCATCCAAAGGTTGTTGAGCTAGATGAACTAATCAATGAATGAAAGGCAATTATATCCTGTGTTCTACAAGCAATTATTTCTAGCACTCAAAGCAGAATTTGAGACTAGCCCCTTGGGGCTTGCGATATCTGTGTTTCAGTGTTTCACCTCTTTGCTATTGACTGTTTGAGCTAGTGTTATCAAGGTGCCATGAAATAAATTCGCCACCCATTCATTACAGCACACTCTAGGCTTCCCTTGGCCACAGTGCAGTTTGAAGTTAGAGATGAATGGTTTGCAGCCAGTAGATGGATGTCAAGGGCTTAATCCTTACTGTATTGACTAGCAAACAGTTATGCAGAGGTGGATAATATAAAATGGAGCCCCTGTTTTCCCGTTAATTATCTAAATGCATCCAAATCCTCTTTATACTAAGAAGAAGACTAATTTTTAAAAATGCCCTTTCATCTGTGATATTATTAATCTTCTCTAAAATGTTGCCTGGTCATTAATCAAGCTGAAGTATAATAAATATAAATGCACACACACACACACACACACACACACACACACACACACACAACCTCTGTGATTTTGGCTCTCTTCAACAGAACCTGAGAAATCCATCATTAATACTGAATTGTTGTCCTTTGCTCTTATACTTTCATTTTGGTTAAACACTGTACAAGCTTGCACAGCGAATGACGTGCATCTGCTGTGCGTCTGTAAAATCTGAGGTTATGAAGTTAAATATAAGAGGCAGAGGTTGCTTAAAAAACAAAAACAAAATCCATAGTCTATCCTGAAGAGCCTAGGTAAGCTGTGATTCAAATAATCTCAAACTATAATGCAGATGTGAGCCCAGAGGTCTCAATTGCCACAAGCACTCATCTCATCCCAGCAATATAACTCCAGCGTAGCACTGATCATTCACATTGGTCCATTTCCGTTGTGCCATACATCCTGGCTTGCTAAGCCATCATCAGAATTCCTTCCCCTCCTTCCTTACTTCCAAGTGCCAACCTGAATAAAATATTGGGGGGGGGGCATGTAAGCCTGCCCTGCATAATTGATCACAGGATGCAGCGCACTCACACCATTTGAATGACAATGCCCATCAATTTGGGGGGGCTGCCAAATATTTTATTGTGGGGGGCAAAGGGGGGGCAACCCCTAGGAATTGACTCCTATGCTCACTTCACATCCTGGCTTTGGTGTGCCAATCCTGGTTATCTTATACGTACTTACTTACTTACTTACTTCGCCAAACCTTTATTACGCTTTAGAAATATAGGCTATCGTAAAACATCCATCTATAAAAGTTTAAAATATATACAAATAAACAGCCATGTAAAATGTGTAATAATGAGGATTTTCATTGGAGTATCTTCCCACTAAAGCTCCCCACTGTGTTTGAAACATGAAGGGTAGTTCAATGCCAGTTTACAAAACAGGATCTGAAGCTAATAAGTCTTGGTGTTGCAATGAAGGGAGAAGAGGAGGAAAGGGATTAGGGGGAAATGGATAATCATTCATGGCTCCTAAAATGTGGTTTAATGAGCTGGACAATATACGTATGCACTGGACCTGTGTGCCACCCTAGAGTTTAATAATGTTGGTGCTCCTTAAAATCCCCTACAGGCATCTTTTAATTGAATGTTTGTGATTGTTTGTGCTCATGTTCCTATTGGGGTGGTCACACATGATGCTGCTTTAAATAGTGTTTGCGCCTGCATGAAGTTTGTGGGGTGGTCACACTGCTTCATTTACAATCAGTGTGCATTCCATAACTGCCTGCTGAAACCCCATAACTTTGCAAAAGCATAATAAATTGAAGGAGTAGAATAAATCCCCTACTAATGCAAAACATGTTGCAGAATATACCTGTAATTACATTTCCCTTTATCTCCACCTTCTCTACAGCCCCTCACAGGCCTTAAATTTGCTTCTGAGGCCACCTAATCCTTTGGAACAATTTTTGGGGGTGGGGGTGGTATACGGTAGAGGAAAGGAAGTCCTGTTATATGACTGAAAGTAAGTTTTGATGGTGGGAAGACACAGTGGCGTGTTAACAACCATCTTGGGCCATCTCTGCAATCTACGAGCATATAAATCTAATGAGTCCCTCCATGTTCTTTTCCACTTTCGAGGTATGGGAATCTTTCATGACTTTTGGGGACAGATAATATGGGATGTGCCTTTTCTGAAAACTTGTTACTCCATGGACACAATTATTTCAGCATTGCACCTGTCAGAGCTGTTTAAACAGACTGATTCTTTAAAAGTTGGCATCACTTGCTCATGCAAATGGAATCACGCTGAATTTAAATAGGATCACTATAATGATGCACTTTGTTCTCTCCATTTTTGTCTTTTGGAATGTGCCTTTTAA